AATCACCTGTCACTTTCTTGTCAAACGGATGAGCCTAAGGAATTATACAGTTTTATAGAAACCATTTAATTATTAATCAATTTCGCAATTTAAAAATTCAGGACTGATTAAATTGGATTCAGTTATTCAAAACATTATTTTATTTTAAACATTATATTATATTATTTTACATAGCTTTAATATTACTTGTGTATGTCGTTTCATGCAAATTGTGATCAATCCTGTTCTTAATCAGTTTTTATCTGATAAATAATAATAAAAAATATTATAAAAATAATAAATAATAATGCATTAAAAATCATAAATATATAATTTTATATAATACAATCAAATAAATATCTAAATAAGAAAACTATTTTATGAGATGTTAACCCTGCTGAAAATACCTGCTTAAACCAGTCTAATGGGGTTTGCTGGTGTAAGCTGGTTCAAATGTATCTTGAATATAAGTGTATTTTGTGTTTTAAGCTTAAACCTCACAAATGTTTTTATTATATTAATTTATTTAATTTAATATTTTAGCCATTCTTGCAATATATACGATGTACTATGAAATGTCATCATCCCTCATTGTTCACACTCATTATATGTTTGTTTACAAAGTCTTACATTCATCAAAAACATATTGCCTATCATCTTTTACTGTTCACGGCATTAGTGTATTTTCATAAAAGACAGAGCGGTGCAGGGTATTCTGTTTTCTTTGACTTTTAATGGTCACGATCCTCATGACTTGTCCTTCCTCATGATATAGACTTCTGGGGAGACTCTAGTACATCTAACCTTTTGGACATACATCTGGGTGGTATGTACGACGATCTGACTAAGCGCTCATGCTAATGACACTAACAAACATGTTTACCATCTTACAGGCTCATTAGTTTTGGTGTTAACACAAATTAAACAGCAGTTTTAGAATCTTTATGTTAACAGGGTGGTGTAAAAACAGGCTTTCTGGCTTTGTTTTCGTGTTGTGGACCCTGTCCTGTCTGCTTGCTGTTAGCTTTGTGTCTAAATTGGATCTAGATGCTCGTGGTAGCATTAGTTAGCTTGTATCGACTGGTGGGTGTGACTGTATGAGATGAGATGTAAATGGCAGTACTGTTGGAAATACAAGCACAGATTTTAGTTGGGGTAGATGGTATATTTTTAGAAGCTTTTTTAACTTTTACTTTC